TCAGGCGCCATGCATACAGAATCTGGTTCCATCGCCGGGGGTGTTTTCAACACGCAAGGTTTCACTCCTGATCCGTATCATAAAGAACGTAATACCGGTAAGGTCACAGTTCGTAGTGCTTTGCCCCTATATCGTTACCGATGTCTGACACGCACAGACATTGAGGAACGCGCAAGACGCATACAAAAAAGTATTTCTGTTCCAACTAGTATCTACCAAAGACTCCCACACACCATCTGATGACCAAACTGATCTTCAGCAGATGTCCGTTACAAGATATGCATTCATTGACTTCACCAAGAGATCTTTAGATTAGATTAAATGTGTATAAAGTATTTCTGTTCCGACAAGCATCAAGCAAAGCCTCCCCCACACCATGTACCATTTGATGACCAAACTGATCTTCAGCTGATCTTCAGCAGATGTCCGTTACAAGATATGCATTCATTGACTTCACGAAGACATTGAGATCTTTAAATTAGATTAAATGTGTATAAAGTCTTTCTGTTCCGACAAGCATCAACCAAAGACTCCCACACACAATCTGATGCCCAAATGGATACTCGGATCTTCAGCAGATGTCCTTTACAAGATATGCATACGTAGACTTCATGAATACATTTGAGATCTTTAGATTAAGTATGCATAAATGCATACATTTGCATAAATTCACTTGGACTACCATAGAGGCTGCTCAAGGGTAACTGAATCATTCAAAACTATCACAAGTACTGGTTTATTGCTAAAGTCTTGCCTGTACAATGTACCATCGGCTACTAATGGCAACTGCGCCACCTGAACTTCACGGGTAATCAATTGTCATTCCCCAATAGACTGTCAGGTTTCAGTGAAGCGAGGAGAATCAATCCATATGGGTATTGTCTTGTCCCTGAGCGTGCAATTGATAATGGACCTTGGATTGTTGTTACATTGCTCAATTCATCAACCCTAACGAGATATATCCCTGGTAAAACGGTCCGGTTGAATCGGTACTTTAATAGATCCCAACGGGACAGCAGATAAATGCTTTACCTAGATCTATCTTAAATAAAATCTCAAATTCTGAGAAAAAATTGGTATGGCAGTGTCCTGAGCAGATGCTTACAGTACACTTTTATCATATGCCACTTTGAAATTAAGATATGGCGTTTTTTTTCTATTTTTGGACAAATAATGTACATTTGGTATGAAAGAAGCTTTGACACATGCCCATATAACATCATTCAAGCCTTTGGCATGTATCACTTTAAAAGATTATAAAATGGGACTTGTACTTTTGACCAAAAAGTCTTTCAAAATCAGCAGCTTGTCAAAGAATGAATTCTAGAGAACTGAAGTGTTTTGCTGTTGCCTAGGCCATGAAATCTTGCAAAATGGCTAGAGAAAATGTACCATACCTTATCGTTACGTAGTCCATAATGTATATTGTGATATGAATAGTTTGAGATTCTTCAGCATACTTGTCACGTACTTAAGCGTGTATCACAGGACGTTAAGCGTCTGACGACTTTGTCAACTCTTATAAGCCTATCATAGAAGCTGCAACAAACCGTGTCGGCCCACGTCGATATCAAAGCTATTTCAGACACGCACGTTGCGTCATTGTATCTCTCTACGGGCGTTTAGAGTAGATGGGATACACTTGGGTTGCCATGCTGGCGCAACTTACTTCTTTAAAATGTCCAGTTCTAAAAACAACTCTAAACTCTTTTACAAAATTGTCAGCTTGGCAGATACTCACGTTACGTCATTACATCTCTGTACTGGCGTTTAGAGTAGATGGGATACACTTGGGTTGCCATTCTGGCGCAACTTACTTCTTTAAAATGTCCAGTTCTAAAAACAACTCTAAACTCTTTTACAAAATTGTCAGCTTGGCAGATACTTACGTTACGTCATTACATCTCTCTACGGGCGTTTAGAGTAGATGGGATACAATTGGGTTGTTATACTGGCGTAACTTACTACATTAAAAAGTCCAATTCTAAGAAAAACTCTAAACTCTTCTAGAATCTTACAAAATTGGCAGCTTGGCAGACGCGCACATTGCGTCATTGTATCTCTCTATGAGCATTTAGAGTAGATGGGATACACTTGGGTTGCCATTCTGGCGCAACTTACGTCTTTAAAATGTCCAGTTCTAAGAAAAAATCTAAACTCTTGAAGTCTTACAACATTGGCAGCTTGTCAAAGAGTGAGTTCTACAGAACTGAAGAGTTTTGATAATGCATAGGCCATGAGATCTTGCAAATGGCAACCTTCTGAAATACTAAAGTATAAAGAACTATAGACTTATCTTATGATTTTAGGGATCTTGAAGTACTGCAAGATAGCAACAGCGTGACATACCTCTATAGCATAGCCTTATTCTAAAGAACTTGTAAGTTTTCCTATTGCTTAGACCTTGGCGACTTTGGAAATGGTCAGCTTGTCAAAGAGTAATTTGTAGTTGTTCTACATTTACTAGTAGGACAATCGCATAGTAGGGAATGGACTGTATTTACCTAAAGTAGGCCAATACTTAATTTTCCCTAAATATAGTAAAGCAAAGCAGTCATCCTCAATGGTAATGATGCTTTCTCGGGTAGTTGGTGGTAGTGTAAGTGCAACGACTCGCATGTTCAGCCAAGCAACTGGGTCAGCCATCTCAATAAGTATGTCAAGTATTTTTTTACGTGCCGAGGTTTGGCATATAAAACTTGCACACGAAGCTGCAGTTTTACGTGTACGTCCCTATCCGAAAGGTCAAGCCCAAGCGGGGTTTGAACCCTTCCAGGCCTACTTGTGTCAATGCACTTCGGTAACGTCCATTCACTATTTAAAGCCCGCATCACACAGGTTACACCCTAGCTAGTTCAGGAAACCATCCGTTGTAATTAAAGGTTAAGCCGACTTTGATTAGACCACCATGGGGATAGCCTGTACAAAACGTCTGTGTGATGTGACGTGTACAGTGGCCTTTTGGACTAGACTAATCCCCTACCCATTATTGGTGTTATATGCCGAAGAAACTGCTGAATTGCTGCTATTGTATTACCTACGTCAAACCGTAAAATGCACCATTTTCCCCCACAGAGACCACTAAGTCCCATGCTCAATACCACAGTACTTGGGTTAATGTGTATAGTAGATAGGTCGTTACTTGTGGTTTAGGTCAGTGTACTGATTCCTTTTACAACTATCTGTAAAGAGTGTTTTACTGGCTTGTGGATGCCCGCGTTTTATGTCTTCGTTACGTTTCATCCGGTGAATCCTACTTGCAGCTTACAGCTTAACCATGTCAATGTACATTAATGTTTATACCTTCATTCCTGGATGAAATATCAGACCTTTCTATGCTTAAGGCTATTTTATGGTCAATGTTGCTTCCTGTATCCTATTATAAGGATGATGTTTCAAGTTTCAGCAGCATACATACAGATTTTAGCTGTCTACTGTTTTGTTTTAGAACAAGCGTCCTAGTCACCGTTTCAAAAATGGGGATCCATTCTACCAATATGAATACAGATGTCCTTTGACGTTTCTTAGTGCGTAAATGCATGTATTTTTGTCACATCTGGTTCACTCTTGGCGTCACCATGCTTCCTGATTCCCGGAAATCAGTTGAACTTGATCAGTCAACTGACGAAGGTCGACGAGATCGACTGAAAATTCATGGTGACAATTTCTGTGTTGCGTAGGAACAAAGCTGAAAATTTTACCACTCTTAGTTCTACCAACACCGATGAGCTTTTATTCAAAATTGCATATATTATTTACATTTCTGCCACTACGTTCTGCACATAGCCTTTTATTATTCATTCATCAAAAACCTTTTAGACTGCCGTCTTGCATATCATACATAGTTTCCATTTGTCACTATTATTGCCAAATTGCACACAATAGCATGCAGAAACTTTTTTTTTTCATTTCAAATAGGCCAAGGCTTCAATGGGCTATTATGGTGACTCTAATAAGTGCCGGATATTGCAGTGCATGAAAGAGTTTTCTTGTCCTTCGCGTTGTTTTTCACATTTGGTATTATGCCAGATATTCATGAAAGATCACGTACAGTCACTGAGGGAGGTGGATGTCTCCATTACTGTCATTACAGCCCATCATCAGTAGTATTGACAAAACGTGCGACCTGAATATCAAATTCGACTCCGATGTCTACGAACGTTCAAGGACCTCCTTGGAACGTTTGAGGGTCATCAGAAGTTTCGTTTGTAGTTCCCAAAGGAAACTCCCAAAGTATAATGAAATTTTCTTTCCACGTATCACCATACATCAAATGATGAGGGCAATGCACTCTCTGGACCTCATTTTGCAAATGATTTTCCATTACCACCGTTGCTTCTATAGGTTTCGGATATGTAATTTGCTTCGCTCTCAGGACTTCATCAGCAGCTGTAATCTAAAAAGTTATTATCGGTTGATCTGTAAGGGATCGAAACGCTGCAGGTAGAATTTATCTTTTTATCTTTAATGAATATCTAAGTGATCTTGATGACCAAGTGTAATGCAGTCGTAAAGATGGAGGATCAGTTGCAGTATCTGATTAACTGTTTTTGAACCTTTATGTCTTTGCAAATATCTTTAAGCATACAGGTTGCATACCGTGCGTAACCCAATTACGATTATCATGGGAAGCATTTCTTTTATTAGCCATGTTGGTCCTTCTTACGGGTATTTTGCAAATATAGTCTCAGTTTGTATCTCACTGTATCCTTGAGTGGACAAAACTTTGATGAACACGGAAAAGAAACTAGAGAGGTATTATTTGCAAAGAAAATGCATACTGTAAATTTACCTTCGCATATGAACTGCTCTTTTAATTCTTACTCAAACACATTCATATATATATATATGGTCAGAGGGGAGTCTAAATCTACCCTGTTATAAAATTGTAACATGGTGTAACTCAACACTAGTTACCATGGTGACAGACGTCTGGTTTAGGTCATTGACCTTATTGGTTTGGAGAAGAAGAGGAAAAAGAGCAAACATAACAAACAAACCTTCGAATGGTGCGTTGAGATCGAAGACTGCCCACAGCTGCATGATGAAGAACGGCGACCAGCACAGGATGTACGCGATGACGATCACCAACGTCATCTGCACCGTCCGGATCTTCGTGGCCCGGAAATCTCCTCCCACGCGGTGCGTTCTCGGCCGGAATTTTCCGGATCGAATCGGGAGGTCGAAGCGGCTTGCCCGGCGGTACTGTAGCTGGCCCGGGGCGGATTTGTCCTCGCGGTACACTCTCCAGACTTCCAGGGAGATGTGGGTGTAAGCCGTGGCGATGATGAGGCAGGGGATGAAGAAGAGGGACAGGCTACACCAGATGACGTACGCTGTTGGACCCCAGGGCTGCAGGAACAGACCCCAACAGTCGAGGTACCCGTGAGGACCCTCGCGTAGGCCGAAGATTTGGATCTACATAAACAGAAATATACGCCATATGTTGGGATGTTTGCCATTATCCGTTCCTATCTATAACAAAGTAAAGCATATGCTTATGACCATTTTGACTTTTTCCCTGTCTTCAATATATTATAGCAGATGTTAAATTGCACTATGAGAAGTAGATGGCACTATGTAGCTTACGTATATCTGATTCAATTTTGGAATTCAAATCTGGAGAAACTGTCACTTTTTATCTATTAAGTTTATTTTCATTCTATCAAGCAAGTCCTTTCCTTTCAGTCATCTAGAAGACTTTTGAAGAGTATTTCACGTAACTCAAAATGTATGACATTCATACATTTGATACAATCATGAGAATGTCAATATTAGGTTATTCATATATCATTACTTCTTTCTATGATGATGACTTCTTTCTAACTCCATAGATCAGATAGTACATGTTGAAGAGTAAGTTATATATAGAGAGAGATATACATTCACGTCACACGTAACGTTATCATAGAACGCGTTGCCTTGTTCCCAAACTTATTTACGTTCACTGGTTCTAGGTTAGTTTGTCTCATTACCTCCCCGGGTGTTGGGAGTTTCTAGCGCCAACTGTGTGCCCAGACGATGAGGGTATCTATAAAGGAAGGCGACAAATTTGCTTCTAGCAACTGCCATGCTATTAGGAGCGCCTGGTGCCGAATCGATTTTTGTGTTCCCCAAGACTGGTATATAAATTACGCTCATCAATCCCCTGCAGCAGCGTTTGCATTAGTTCCGTGTTAAACTAAGAGCTATGTGATCTTCACCTGAGGCTGCGAGTTTTGATAAACTGATCCTGAAGATTATAAACACTCCCTATTGCGAGCTTTTTGGCACCCTGGCGGCGATATACATTTTTTTTGTGTGTGTAGTTTGTACTTTGCCACTGCGACACTGTATCCTCGGGTGTATCAGCACAATTCTATGACAGAAAAGGGAATTAAACGATCGTTCGGTGTCCAACAGCTCCAAGGTGCGTCACAGCTATACACCGGTTGAGATCATTGAACCTTGTTTGCGTAAGAAGTTTCTTGTCTTTTTGGTAGCTTGGTGGTGAGTGGTGAGTGGTGACATACATTTTGTGTGTGTAGTTTGTACTTGTCGTCACAGTATCCTCGGGTGTGCCATTACAATCCTATTACAGAAAAGGAAATTAAACGACCGTTCGGTGTCCAACAGTTCCAAGATGCATCACAACCCTACATGGGGTTGATATCATTATGAACCTTGTTTGCGTAAGAAGTTTCTTGTCTTTTTGGTAGCTTGGTGGTGAGTGGTGACATACATTTTGTGTATGTAGTTTGTACTTGTCGCCACAGTATCCTCGGGTGTGCCATTACAATCCTATTACAGAAAGGGAAATTAAACAACCGTTCGGTGTCCAACAGTTCCAAGATGCGTCACAACCATGCATGGGGCTGAGATCATTGTTTCTTGTCTTTCTGGTGCCTTGGTGATGGGATACATTTTGGGGGGTGTATTTTGCAGTCTCCCACTGCGACAGTATCCTTGTTGGATGTACCTACTCTAAGCTATTACAGAAAAGGACATTAAACGACCGTTCGATGTCCAACATCTCCAAGATGCGTCACAACCATGCATGAGGTTGGGCTTATTATGAACCTTGTTGTAAGGGGAAGTAAGATGTTTCTTGTCTAGTTCCAAAAGAAAATCACATACTTTGTATGCACAGCGTTTCCTCCCATATATTCCAAACCAAACTTTCATTCATATTTCGTTCGTTTAGATCCAACTATCTACAAGCCTGTATGAGTTCGGGATAACTATTATAATTATACACTATGTAGTTCAGTGCACTCTTCATTTTGTTTTGAATCAAGAAAGCTACTTATATATACATAGGGGGATCATGGGCTTTTGGTCTTACGCATTAAGTTATCATTTTCCTAGACAGGTATATGAAACCAATAGACAGGTATATAAAACAAATCGAGGCTAATAAATCATAGTTGATGTTGAAATCAATGCATGACACTTATCCTGTAGACTTTTTTCTATTAGATAAAGATCCAGTAGATGTCAAACTAATACTGAGAGTCTGAGACGTACCCAATTTGTGCGTCGACACAATTCATAAACATTATCGTGAAATGAAATGGATCTGAAGATCTGAAGGCCGGGGTTACAAGGCAAATCATTCATTATTTTTCGCAGACATTTGTTTTAATTTCGTGATGGATATGTATGACTCTACCAGCACATATTAGTAAGTACGTACCAGCACATCGTAAGTGAGTACCAGCACATTGTAAGTAAGCAAGTACCAGCACATTGTAAGTAAGCAATTACCAGTACATTGTAAGTAAGCACCAGCACATTGTAAGTAAGTAAATACCAGCACATCGTAAGTAAGTGATTACCGACAAATTGTAAGTAAATAAGTACCACACATTGTAAGTATGTAAGTATGAGGAAGTAAGTACCATCGCATTGTAAGTATGTAAGTAATTAGTACCAGCACATTGTAAGTAAGTAAGTACCAGCACATAGTAAGTAAGTAAGTACCCGCACATTGTAAGTATGTAAGTAAGTATAAGTAAGTACCAGCACATTGTAAGTATGTAAGTAAGTATAAGTAAGTACCAGCACATTGATACGTGAGATACGTTGACTAATTACTAAAACAACATTGGAAGACGATGTTAATTGTTACACATACCTGTGGAAGTCCGAAGATAATCGAGAACCCCCAGCAGAGCAGCAGGACTCGTTTCGGCTTGTACACGGTCCTGGTCACGGCAGACATCGGGTGGCAGATGGCGGTGTAGCGGTCCAGAGCCGAGCCGACAAGAACAAACGACGAGGCGTACAGACTCGACAACTGGAGATACTGGAGAAACAGATGGATTTTGTAAATGTACTGCAAAACAATATATGGATGTTTCGCTGTTAGAAATGCCTCCTTGAAATGAGTTTTTATTTTTTGACGTCAACATTGGGTCAAAGATATCCAGTAAACGATGTCGGCCCATCAGAGCCCATCACCCAACCGCGACGGGGGCAGACATAGTTTACCGGATATCTTTGACCCAGTGTTCACGTCACACTTCCGCCAAGGAGCCACGTCTTACTGCGTCAGTTGAAGAAGACCGGAGTGACTGCCCGAGCGCTCTAGTTGAGAACAATCATTTGTACAGTGTTGTAACAAAAGTTTTAACTCTAAATAGATGTTGAGACTGGGCAAGCTGAAACTACAAGAGCGGATGGTTCACACCAAATTCCCGGAAAGACCAGTCCTCACCTTGACGACTCTACACAGGAAGTCTCCTGCCAGGAAACGGTCGGTCGCGTCCCAGATGAGTTGGGGGAGGATGTTGAACAAGGCCACGGTCAGATCCGCGATACTGTGGATTTATACAATATAGAATATTGTCATAATGATAAAAGGAAGGAAGGTGGAAGGAAGGAAGACAGAAATCAATGTTAACGAAGTAAACAATATTATGTACATGTACACGGAGTAGGATGTTTAGATACAAAATAAAGTTAAAAGATGAGTTGAATTCCAAAATCAAATCAATCATACATGGGGTCCGTGGTACCGTTTAATTCGTATTACTATTTTAATATCTACCACAGAAGACATGGGAAAAGGTACCTAAATTCAACACCAAAAGGATAAAATAAAACACATATACATTGGCAACAAATGCATTGCCGTATTCCTTGGTAAAAACAATGAACTCCAGATCTAAAACCAGAACTCACTGACAGATATATTCACAGAACAACCTGTCATGTAAAGGCATTTATGAATGATGCTTTTACCCTAATAGGAGATACAAGAATCTAATACTGTCCAGTGAGGCGTAATAACGTTGAATACAAGGGCTAGAAGAGAACGTGCTGCCAAGACCTGATGGAGATTAGACCTGCGTACACTCCGAACATGATAAATTTACTCAGTCCTGAGCAAATCCAGGTATAGCTCACACAGGCGGCTGGTTAGTGGAGTGTAAGGCTATCGACATTGCAGCGTCGCCTCGGCTTTGTGCGTGATTCTAACCGGTAACCATGTTTCTCACGCGCCGTAGGAGTTCTGGAGGTAGCACGTTAGAGCATATTTGTTACCTCACGCGTACAAAGCTTTGCCTTTGGGAACATCTTTCTCTTTCAATCGACAACGATGCTCTTCAGTTCAGAAGCCTTTGTCTGATATTCCATGTAGAAAATATCTGATTTTTCGTTTTTATCTTATCTGATTAAAAATAATAGAATTTCATGTAACAATGACGAATTCTAAAGCAGTCAAAAAAGTTATACAAAGATATTTCCTTAGTTTAAGTTGTGCAGTAGGTGCTTCTAGTCGCTCAGACGGAATGTGATGAAGCTAGGCAGTCGAAAATGTCAAGTAAATATCAAATGTCAAACTGTCTGCTGATATATACTACTACACAGTATCACTCGGTCCCACTGTATGCCTCATGTCCGTTCTAATATCACGGTGACACTTAGTGTATATGTATGTGTGTAGTATATGTGTGATGCCCCCCCCCCCATTTAAATATAAGAATAATATTTTCATTAGCATTACACAAAGGGCAAGGACGATGTGACGTACACTCAAGTTACAACTTAGTTTGCTAATTAATGATTAATGGTTTTGCTAATGATTAATGGTTTTGCTAATGATTAATGATGATTCTAAAGCCTTATAATGGTAGGGTTTGAAATGTAGCCGAGTACACGTATCCTAGACTAAACTAAGCTGCAGATTTACTTGCTTACTTACTGTGCTATCACCAAATAGCAGGAACAGTGATTTATTTGCACATCTAAAATAAATCGCCCGAAAGTCTAGACAATATGTTCTCTCTAAGCTAACAGGGGCTTTTGTTTATCCCATACCAGTGCTGTTGATTGAACCTTTGTATCCAACTTCGTTGCGTAGTAAGGCCATACCAAGTAATTTTTATGGATGACATAAGCTAGCGGGTGCATAAATTTTTGCCTGAATTTGGAAAAAAAACTAAGTTTTGTTGCCTTCTGACTGGTCAACATGCCGAAAATGGGCAAATATGCCTGTTGCCATGCCAAAACGTGGATGGCAGATAAATATGAAGAGGAGACAAGACAAGGCTCTGATTTATTGTTTTGTTACTTTGATGCATTGATGCATTTCATTCCTTTTATATGTGATGTTCACTGAATCAAAACCATGTGTACAATGAATGAAAACTTTTCCAATGTTAAATGGATGTTGTAATAGTTGGCAGTAAACTTAACACAATCATCACAAGGTTTATGATGTCAAAATTTGAAAATGTAGGAATCTGATTTTTTTTGGCCCTGTCGCTTTAGATTGGAGTCTGTGGAGGATGTCATCCATAAGATTTACTTGTTGTGGCCTAAACAGCTTTTATTACACAAGTGACTCCGGAACCCCGTATAGAATAACGTTTTCATTAGCCAGTTGATCTTTCGGAAATCCAAGTCCATAAACTCCTCAGCATTTCCTAGCTTGGCGTCTTTTTATCTACTTATCTTAAGAGGGCAGCTGGTGTATCAATTCCCCATGCTGGATCTGTCCTGTGCTGTTTAAATCCACTAGGACTAAATTTGAGGAAGTGGTCTCTTCCTAATGTCTATGACTAAAAGCTTCTCACAAATGCAGGGGTTTAGTCGGTAGATGTGAATACTCTTGTGTATATAGCCAGAATTTTTGTTAATGTTGAACACAGTCTTGGCCTCAAATCTAAGGAAGAGAAGCTACACACTATATATATTGTAATACATGTAGCCATTTGGCTTGAAATATTTGCACATATATTATAGTCAACACTAGGCGCTATAGGCAGGAACAAAAAAAATTTTGACACGTGCTATATGCTAATTTATGCTAATTATAATTTCATCACCAAGAAAGATAAAATCTTATTCCATCTTTTATTAATCATACTGGCTGCATCGATACTGTATTTACCACCTTCATTTAACTATTTTAATCGTATGATATTTCAAGAAGTAAATCCACTCAAGAAAGACATGTTCTACTTCAGTCGATTTGATTTGCAAAACATTCGCAGATTTTAGAATTCAATTCTAAGAAGGCTATCTTAAGCAAAAGTTGCAATTAACATGTTAGAGCGCTGCCCTCAGGCACGATCTGTGCTCAGAGTCGTTTCTTGAAGAACGTTATATAACTACAGCATAGATAACACCCTTATCTTTTTACAGTAATACTGGGTATCTAAAACCACTTCGACTGAAAGCCTGTGCGGTGTCGATGGATCGAAATTGAGTCTTTCGTGGATCTAAATTGTGTCCGGCATGCTTTACATATCATTGAGAGACATCATTATGAACTGTCTGCGACTGATACTCTATTGAAGTTTCTAATGTCTTCGTGTCGTGATATCTCATGATTACTACCTTGTTTTCGTCAGAGCACGGAAGTTTTGTTTTGGGAGGCTGAACTAGGGCTGTATGTATCTGTCTGGATAGAGTAGGTTGACAGCATGTGGGAGGGGAAGATTGACAGGCCAACTGGCAGGAGGTCAAAGGTCTCAGAATCTGGCCGGGAGCCAGCAGGAATTAGGGGTCGACATGGGGGAATTCAGGAAGCCGAGGACTGCATACTAGTACTTCCAGGAAGTCTGAAATCTCCGATTTCTTATCTGTATTTGCGTAGCACAATTTCTGTATTCAACCAGAAGGTAAAATGCCTATAACGTAGTACCAAACCTGGCATTATTAATGTCAGCATCGTTGATTAAGTTATAGAATTCAGGAAGCCGAGGACTGCATACTAGTACTTCCAGGAAGTCTGAAATCTCCGATTTCTTATCTGTATTTGCGTAGCACAATTTCTGTATTCAACCAGAAGGTAAAATGCCTATAACGTAGTACCAAACCTGGCATTATTAATGTCAGCATCGTTGATTAAGTTATAGATCCTGGAAACCTTGACCAATCAGAAACAACGACCTTAACCTTTCTCGGGATATGGCCTGGATCAAACTTGAACTGAAACACTAGTTCATGGCGTATGGTTACAATTTGATTAAATGTGCGCATTAAAATGCTATCATGCCCCCAGGTACGCAATAAATGGAATCTATCTCTCAACCTCCTAAGCATCGCCCGTAAAAATAACGATTTCATCAGTATTGTTGATCCCTTACAGTAATCAAAGACCCCTAAACTCGCCCTTTTACTTCATCAGTGTCTGCTTTCTATCTCGTCAGAACAACAGAATGATTCATGCACTGAACCATTCTTGAGTCTAGTTCAATCTAGCCCCAATCCGGTGTAAACCGGTTTTTCTAAAAAAAAACAAGCACTAAACAGATCTTTGATTGCCATGGCTTATTTTTGCTTCGAAATTATCGTGCCTGAAAAGACGTATTGTTGTCATGATCACTCCTACGTAGCACAAAATAGCTCATGTCACGGTCATCAACCTTTGCGTCCATATTTGTAATTAAGGAACATTCCATCGATGCAGGGGTGAAGAGTGCATAATAACAATTAGGGACGGTCTATTACTTCAAGAAACGATATATGTAAAACACGTACAGCGCAGTGGTTATTTCTTTTACACTGAACAGCCTCGAAACATACATTTACGTGTAAAGGCCTGAGTATGTATAGAGGAATGGTTCTCGACTGGGTTTATGGTCCTGTCTGGAGATTATATCTAGGGATGCATGAAAAATTAAAAATACTATTTAGATGATGTTCTATTGTAGCTCTTGACCTGTGTTGATCCACCATTGTGAACGAAAGAAGACAAACTGTTTGTCTCTCATTGATTAAGCAATATACCAAAGAGAATATTCGTTGGGCACATACATTATAGAAGGTTCTAGCTCCATATGCTGTGTTTGCGGTCGATGTAGAGACCCGATCCCCCTCTGTGCGGTTCATGAACTTGTAATAACATCGGTGGAAAGACATATTAGTACTAACAGCTGTGGAATGGCCTAGACATGCTTGAAATCACTGACTTACTGGGTGGTTATAGCTGTATCATATCAACTGATAGCGCTATATCAAAACAACTAACCAACCAACGAGTTATTTGTTTGGCTAGTTGTTTTGATAGTTCTGATTTCTAAATCAAAACAACTAGTCAACCAACAAGCTGGTTGGTTGGCTAGTTGTTTTGATAGTTCTGATTTCTAAATCAAAACAACTAGTCAACCAACAAGTTAGTTGGTTGGCTAGTTGTTTTGATAGTTGCCATTTTTATATCAAAGCAACTAGTCAACCAACTCTCTCCTTGCTTGGCTAGTTGCTTTGAATGTTCTGATTTCTAAATCAAAACAACCAGCCAACCAACAAGTTAGTTGGTTGGCTAGTTGCTTTGAATGTTCTGATTTCTATATCAAAACAACTAGCCAACCAACAAGTTAGTTGGTTGACTAGTTGCATTGATTGGTATGCAGCTTGCTTCTGTTGGCTAATTTATTTGATCCCATGTGTATATTCTGTACAGTAGTCTTCAGTCTAGTTATTCTCTTCAGTAGTTCCAGCGTTTTCGACAAACTACTAACTTCCTCAGCAATACTTTTCAAGATTGTTACAGTTGAATCTTCTTCAAGCTGGCTTGAGGCAAACGTTAAGATAACGGGTTTGGAAAGCAGTATATTTGCTGCTCCATAGACACCATGATATATTCTAAATGAAACGTTAAGCCTTGGATTATATCACGCCCAGAGATCAGAACGTTATAAAGAGTATTGGCGTTCCCATTCATGCTTGTCATGAGTGCAATATGAAGTTGAACGAAGTGGAGAGCTTAGAACTTCACCTTTTTATACCCCCTCATAGGGACTCTATAGCAATCCTTGCCAAAGACTCGATAGGCATAGAGGGAAGTAGGAGATACGCGAGACACGCGGATTGATTTTAGATATTTTATAGAATGAAAAATGTCACATCACAGCCCAGCACCATCCTGCAAAGCAGCCTAAATCTAAATTAACTGTCTCTGTGATTGGACTGCAAGGCGTAACTGAATTGAAGCAAACTACAGCGCTATAATGATCATTACTTAGGCCACAGCAAGTAATTTTGATGGATGACATCAGCGCGCGCATTAATTTTCGCCCTGATTTTGGGAAAAAAAACAAGAAATTTGGTTGTCTTCTGACAGTGGTCAACATGCCGAAAATGGGCAAAGATGTCTGCTAAAGTATGGATGGCAGATAAATATAAAGAGAGGGGACAAAGCTCTGATTTAATATTTTGTCTTTTACTTTGATGCATTGATATATTTCATTCCTTTTGTATGTCATGGCGGCTGTGTTGATGTGATGTTTCCACTAAATCAAACCATTTGTACAGTGACTGAAAACTTTCATTTTTTAAAGCTGTTTCAGTGACAAATGGATGTTGCAATAGTTGGCAGTATAAGCATCATTTCTTGTTTAACAAGGTTTTATGATGTCAAAATTTGAAAATGTAGGGATCTTGTTTGGCCGGCCTCGTTTTTTTTCGCCCGCTCGCATTAGATTTGGAGTCTGCGGAGGATGCCATCCATAAAATTTACATGTTTTGGCCGTATATCTATTGCTAGACAGGACTGCGAAGCCGATTTTGTAAATCCCTATGCTTTTGAAATTTTCGGGAAATATTCCAAACGGAAATCTTAGAAAGCCTTCCTAGACAGCGCTTCAGGATCTAGAATGGCGTTGGCTAACAAAATTGCAATTGGTACAGACGTGGGAACGTCGAGAAGGGCGCCCGCACTTCAGTAAATTGAACAAATGTGAAGACAGTATATAAGAACAAAATGAGTTGATTACGGAAAACCAGCTCAATCCCCTTCCATATGTTGTTAACCTTTTCTCTACGGCGCACGATGTCTAGTCCTTATTGCCTATTCACGTTAAAAATGTAAGGATCTACACGAAAATCAGAGAAAAGGGGCAATAGTCTATAGAGCAGATGTATTCCTAATAAAAAACTAAATGTAATAAAGAATTTGAAAACATATGCTCACTTACATATTGTAATAAGCTACATCAACTACATCAACTCTGATTATGAAAACATCGCAAAATAAATTTAAAACGAAGCAGTTTTTAAAAATATTGATCCATCAAACATTACCAGAGGTTGGCCAGGAAGAGGTGCATCCTCCTGTGGTGGGTCCGACTGCGGTAGATGTCGGCGAGCACGTAACTGTTCCCCGTCAGGGCCAGGAAGAACAGCACGCCGAGAACACTGATCTCCACCGCCGCTAGCGTCTCGTCACGCTCCCCTCTGGTGAGCACCGGGACCGTCTCGTTCGTCGCGTTACCGGAATAGTTGAAGGTGACGGGCTCCCATTGGGAGTTGATGTCCAAGTTTTCGTCTTCCATGTTCTTGGCTCTTTCTCCTCTCTCCACTCGCCGGGGGAATATATTCTGAGGTCGCGGTGGTTCGTACCTCGTGGCAGGGCTCCCACTTCGGTCTGCTGCAGCAGCCACGAAGCTGTTTCACTGGCCGGAGGTGCTTGGCGGGTTCGTACGTTGGACCAATCACAGCGACAGGTACCATCCATTCATGGTGTGCGACATCAAAACGTGACAAGCTTAGCAGAAACCTTATTAAGAAGACGTCGCCTTTGAAGGAAACAGCAGTTCCCTGTACGTCAGACCTTACGTAGACACTCGGCAATTAAGAGGAGTAGGTGGTGAACAATTCTTTTCCCTGGTGTCAACGTCGTTTTGCATTCACGGCTCTTGGCAGCGTGCGTACATTGCCATTAACGCCCCCGCCATCGCTGAATTATGTATAAACCAACTTCTAGAACACCCCTGTTAAACCCTTGTGATGGACTAGCCCTGAGTGACGCACAGTCAACTGATCGTCTTTCCTATAACAAACCGATAAAGCATAAAAGCGCCACGTACTCTCGTCTTTGACTTTATCATCCCCATACCTTTGACATCGGCTTAAATCATCAAACTCAGATTAGGCCACAGCAAGTAATTTTTATGGATGGTATCAGCGCACGCATTAATTTTAGCCCTGACTTTGGGGGAAAAAATAAGAAATTTTGTTGCCTTCTGACAGTGGTCACCATGCCGAAAATGGGCAAAGATGTCTGCTGCCATGCCGGAACGTGGATGGCAGATAAATATGAAGAGAGGACACAAGACAACGCTCTGATTTATTGCTTTGTCTGTTACTTTGATGGAGTGATGTATTTCATTTCTGTTATATGTGATGTTCTCACTGAATCAAAACCATTTGCACAATGATTGAAACCTTTTTTTAAAGTTGTATCAGTGACAAATCTATGTTGTAATAGTTGACAGTAAACCTAGTACAATATATGTATCATTTCATGTTTAACAAGGTTTATGATGTCAAAATTTGAAAATGTAAGAATTTTGTTTTTTTTGCCCGCCTTGTTTCTTTTCGCCCTATCGCATTAGATTTGGAGTCTGCGGAGGATGTCATCCATAAAATTTACTTGCTGTGGCCTTAAGTCACCGGAGAATCTTAATGTGAAGCGGTTTTTGTGACTGTCCTTGAATGATGTATTCCTGTATGTATCGATTTCATTCATAAATAAACCTTAACTTTTGATACCTTCATTGACCTTTTGACTGGAATTCCATTCAAGGACGACAAGCCATCCATAGACCATGGAAGATGATTTATTTGCAATATACATAAACGTCGGTACGCATTACGTTGCATACGTTAATAGAATTCAACTTGTCAATGTTACTCAAATTCTAACAATGTTGGTATCATGCACCCTGCATACATCGGCTGATCATAGATATCACTTTCATATTTCATTGATATAATCTTGATGTGGTTATTTATCATATAGACCCTGACATCCACCTAGGCATGCTCGTGAATATATCTGCAATCTGTTTTGTCGAGGATATTGAGTTGTATCAACATTTAATGTAATTCAAGCAGTCGAACAGTAGTTACTTATTATGTTTACCGAAGAAAAACATATTGGTTTTTGCTCTGTTTCCTCTTCTTCACACCAATAAGGTCAATGACCTGAACCAGACGTCTGTCACCATGGTAACTAGTGTTGGGTTACATCATGTTGCAATTTTATAGCAAGAGGGATTTAGACTCCTGTCTGACCATATGTATGAATGTGTTTGAGTAAGAATTAACAGAGCAGATCATATGCGAATGTAAACATTATGCATTTGCTTTGCAAATGTTACTTTTCTACCTAACTGAAATTTAAAAAAAACGCAAAAAGTTGGGTGTAACTTTGGAACAGAGTCATAATCTTAAAAGTGCAGGCGCTTTTCTTGAGCATCATTATACGAAACAACCGGACTTGAATGTCTCTCGTGTCAATGCCAGATGGAGAAATGATTACCACAATTTCCGCCGTGTTCTCAATCCTATCATTAAGTGTCATTAGCGTCAGCGCGAAAACACCGTCTAATAACCGGCTAGATACAGATGTATACAACGTGAGGCGACAGGCAGGGCTGCACTTGGCACCAGGGTCGTGCGCACATCCGTGTTTAACGGAAGTGTCGTTTGTTCAACTTTTGGATTCGCTGTGGCGTGAACCCTAGTCGACTCGGTCTTGTGTAAACAGTCAATTTTATCATTTCAAAATGTTCCTCTTAATCTGATTGATTCAATGCAATCATGTCAGATTCATCTAACTTTGCGGTGTATTGTGTGATTTAGTACATAGAAATGTTTGCACAAATAGCTTGAGTGTAGGGGTCCAAAAGCTCCTTGATTTCATATGTAGTTTCTGTTTTTTTAACGGCCCTCGGTTGAAAATGTGCAGATGTTGACACATTGGCGCACCAAATCTGTAGTGTGTTTTTGGCACACAAATTAGACAGATAAGCCTAAGAGGCTCGGTGGGCGTCTCTTCACTGAATAGGGAGGAAAGTTGTGTTAAGTGCCTTTCCCAAGGGCACAACGGTGAGTTTAGAACCCGGGACTTATTAGTCCCGAGTCCAACGCTCTTGCCGTTGGGCCACCGACGCCACAATATAGCTTCTGTAGTGTATAGTTAATGAACTAATCTTCTGTGATCATTACGACTGCCACATGTTCGTAAAAATGCAAGAATGTGTTTGGAAGTATCTGTCTACACTGCAGTTCCACGTGTTCTCTAATTATATATTTTACTAGCGTCTTGTAGTGGTTTCTGGTCAAAATCGCTTTGAAATAGGACTGATCCGGATTTTGCTAGGGTTGATCCGGATTTTGTTAGGGTTGATCCGGATTTTGTTAGTGCTGATCCGGATTTGACTTTTGGACAGGATTCAGGCTGTCTGATTTGACACGCCCTGGGTGAATCCTGTGCTCAATGAAAGTGTCTAATGTCGTTCCTCGCATATGCATTGCCGTGTGGAATAAATGTATATATTAAAGTATTAACGTATCGATGAAACAAAAATTAACATTGACCAATTGTATTCAAAGACAATTCAAACTCTACTACTGGATAAATAACGGAGATAACACATTGTATCATTTTTAGTTTAACAAGGTTTATGATTACAAAATTTGACAATGTAGGAATCTTGTTTTTTGGCCCGCCTTGTTTTTTTTCCACCCTATCGCATATGATTTGCAGTCCGCGGAGGATGTCATTCATAAACTTTATTTGCTGTGGCCTATGTACAATCATACCATGACTTCCTTTAAAGACACAAACATGACTCCTCAATTCGAATTGTGGATAGATTGCTATTCATATTTCAAAAGCAATTAGAAGGCAATTACTCGTACTTCAATTGGACATGTTTTGCCAATGAATTATGCAGTTTTAATCTCCGTTGAAAGTTCAACTCTACCTAACCAAGCCTTTAGAGCTTAACAGCCAGGTGCAATACTTACCTGTTTCCCCTTTTAGGCCACAGCAAGTAATTTTTATGGATGACATCAGGTGCGCATTAATTTTCGCCTGATTTTGAAAAAAAAACAGAAATTTTGTTGCCCTCTGAAAGTGGTCAACATGCCGAAAAAAATGGGCAAAGATGTCTGTTGCCATGCCGGAAGGTGGATGGAAGATAACTATGAAGAGAGGAGACAAGAAAAGGCTCGGATTTAATGTTTTGTTTTCACTTTGATGCAGTGATATGTGATGTTGGCTGTGTATATGTGATGTTTCGACTAAATCAAAACCATTTGTACAATGATTGAGCCAAAATGTGAAAATGTGGGAACCTTGTTTTTTTTCGCCCGCTCGCATTAGATTTGGAGGTTGCAGAGAGAATGTCATCCATAAAATTTACTAGTACTTGCTGTGGCCTTTGCCAGCAATCCGTGCTGTTGCCAACTCTCTAAACGTCAAACACAGATGCTCCGTGTCTGTATCCTTGGAGTTTATTAATAAAATATAAGCCAATTAGTCACCAGTCTTGCTTTCTCTAAGTGGTGTTTGGCATCGTGGCCCAACCAGTATTGATTTGGTCAATGAACAGAACGTCCATTGCAGAGGCTATATAGCGCTGTCTTAACAAGCCTTATTGTTAACAAGAACCATCATGATGTCACAATTTATATTATTATTAAAAAGTAGATGCTTAAAGGAGAACAAATAAGCTAATATTAGCAGCTTTTTACTTCACACAATATAATTATATTTGTAAACCTTTGCTTCAAATAGAGTTCCATGATCACATACCTTCACCAACAATTGTTAGACCATCTATTCATTACTTGCATTTCTTAAAACCAGTCATACATAGAATTGAATACAAAACAAATCAATAGAATGATGTCATCATGGTGAAACTAGACTGTACTATTTTTAAACAAAGGATGGATTTCCATACGTTGAAACTCAATAGTTCTAAAAAAGGATATACATTTGGATTATGTTAAGTTAATGGGTACTAGTTACCAAAAAGCTATCACTGTGGGGATCGTGCCATTACTTGAACACCACCAAAGTTTCTACCTTCTATGTTATCTGGGTTGCATGTAATTATGTTTGATGTGTTTTTCAGTTCAAGATAATGGGGTCATTGACCTGTAGTTCAAGATAGTGGGGTCATTGACCTGTAGTTCAAGATAGCGGGGTCATTGACCTGTCAATACCTAGGGTACCTACGAGATCTAGAGATGAAATTACATTAAGTGCGCGTTTGAAAATGGCCGTTCGTGCGAAAGCTTTTACAACAACGTGTATTGGGTCTGTATCAACCCTATTTTATATACTGCAAATTTTGAGCACCTGCATACCAAAAAACTACCCCCCTCCCCATTGTTTCTCTCACTCAATATTTCCTTATTTGGCAATCTGTTAATAGGCCACGCCCACACAACAGCAAAGTATCTTTTTTCTCACTCAATATTTCCTTATATGGTAATCTGTTAATAGGCCACGCCCACACAACAGCCAAGTATC